GCGGCGCCGCGGCTCTTATTCGGACACCGGGACGGGCCGACACAGAAAAGCGGGCCAGGAAGGGCCAGAAACGGGCAAGAGAGCGAGGAACCGAGGAGCGAGAAGGGGCGGGGGAGAGGGAGAGAGGACGACGGGCAAGGACAGACCGGGCCGACAGACAGATGGACGGGGGGACAGGGAGGGGAAGCCAAGCAGGAGGGGAGGGGGAGAGCACACAACGCACAAGGGCAAGGAAGCACGAGGGCAAAAGGGGGCGACACGGAAGGGGAAGGGAGAGGGAAGAAGGGGGAGGAGCCGGGGGCCTGGGCCAAGGCAAGGCAGAAGGCGGGCCGAGAAGCACACCAGAGCGACCGCGCAACAAGACAATTGCCGGCGTCCCTCAACTTGGGATTGTCTCTGCGGCGCAACCGGCCGAATCGAAAATCCAATGCGAAATCAGACAATCAAATAATAAGGAATCGGGCGGAGGGGGGAGGAGGAAGGGAGGGAGGGGAGAGGGGCAGCCAGGCTGCCTACACCTCCTCGTGCGCGTCCGTGTCCCGCATGATCTGCCGGACGGCTGTCGGCACGTTGCCCGCCAGCTTCGGGGCTGTCCTCTTCTTGATAGCCTTGGCGGTGCAGCGTGCGACTACCGCCGCCACGCGGGACAGTAACTCTCGCCTGACAGAGGCTGCCTCCCGGCGCTCCTTGGCCGCCACCGCCGCCGCGATGGCCCGGACCGCCGCGTGGGCGGCCGTGGCCATTCCGCCCTGCGCCTCGTGGGCGACGGGCCAGAATCGGAAGCCGGCTGCCATGCACTGCTGCTCGGTGTTCTGGTCTGTCCGCTTCCTCTGGTCGTATCTCTCCGCCGCTGTCCCGGGCCCTGCAGCTGTCTCTTGCCAGTGGCCTGCGCCCAGGGCGTTGATAACTGCGAAATCAAAGCACACTGGTTCTGTCCGGATTGCACGAGATCCGTCCGGAAGCTGCCTGGACAACGCCAGCGCGGGGATGCACAGAATGTCTGCCGGCCTCCTCCTGTTGTCTCGCCCGAGCACCTCCTGCAGCACGCGGGGCACTTCGCTCAGCGGGCGGAGACCGGCGCGCTCGCAGAAATCGAAGTACACATCCCGCACGCCATTGTGCTGGGCTGTGGCATCTCCTCCAGACATGCACGACAGCGCGTGTAACCCTCCAGAATCCAGCAGCTCGCCGCACAACGGGCATGGCACGTTCCCATCCATGACGTCGACTCCAAGACGAAGGGCGACGGTAGTGACCCCCCCCCCGCTTTCCCAGCGGGGGAAGGGTAGGGAAGGGGGGGTTTTGCCGGGGGAAGGGGGGGGGTCCAGCAGGGGGAGGGATTTTCGGACGGGGGGTGGGGACCCCCCGGTTCCGGAGGAAGAGGGGGGGAATTTTCTATAGAAAAGCGGCGGTGGATCACGCTCTTTCCTGATATATATATATATATATATATATATATATATATATATATATATATATATGCAAGAGCTTCACGGATTGAGGGCGCTCCGTTTTCGACATGTGGCTATCGCTTCAGTGCCGCGCATACTCGTTCTGAGAAGCTGTAAGGACTTACGGAATGAGGGCGACCCGTTTTCAAACTGTGGCTCTCGCCTTCGCGCCGCGCGCATTCGCTGCACAAATTTGCAATAACTTCACGGATTCCGGGCGGTTGTTTTGTCAAAATGTTGTTCTCGCTTTAGCGCCACGTGCATTCGTTTTACAAATTGGCAAGAGTTTCACGGATTGAGGGCGGCTCCTTTTCAAAATGTGGTTTTCGCTGTCGCGCCGCGCACATTCGTAACAAAATACAACGAACAAGAGTTTCACTGATCCCCATGAACAACGTATCAAACATGGTGTTTTGGAAAGATTCCGGACCCTGCGGGTGCAACAGTTGCGTTGGTTCGTGGTGTTGAAGTTTCACGAATGTCGTTGTGGCACGATTCTGGCTTATCAAGGCGCAACAGTCAGGTTGATCCGTGGCGATGGAATCCCGAAAACAATGTTATGACATATGTCCGAATATTCCAACGGTTGCTGTCCGACGAGGCAGTTCCCTCAGTGTAAATGAGCCGCTGCAGAGGCCAATGAAGAGGGAGCTTGGAGGGAGGGTTCGTTCCAACATCGCTGATGACTCTTGGGTTTACACTGGTCCTCCTCCTCCTTCCTCCTCCTCTTCCTCCCCGTTTCCTCCTCATCCTCCTCCGCTGCCGCCGCCGCCTCCTCCTCCTAGACTACCACGACGACGGCTACCAGTAGTAGCAGTAGTAGTAGTAGCAGTAGTAGTAGTAGCAGTAGTAGTAGTAGTAGTAGTAGTCGTCGTAGTAGTAGTAGTAGTAGCAGCAGTAGTAGTAGTAGTAGTACTACTACTACTGCTACTGCTGCTGCTACTACTACTACTACAATTACTTCTACGACTACGATTACTACTACGACGGCCACTACTACTGCTACTACTACTACTACTACTACTACTACTACTACTACTACTGCTGCTACTACTACGGCTATTACTACTACTACTACTACTACTACTACTACTACTACTACT